CATTTAAATTAAAAAAAACACTAATAATATCTCAAATCTTAATAACAGTCATAACTTAAACATTTAAATTCAAACAAATACTAACAATTGTATACATTTTCATATTGACAGGGTAGGACTACAAAAGAAGCAGAATCAGGACAACAGCAGAATTAGCAACAAAAAAAAAGAAGCAGAATGACAATTAAAAAAAATAAAAGCAACACAGGACAGCAAAATCGAAGCAGCAACAGAATCAACAAAAAAAAAAATAGAAGCAGAATGAGCTAAAAAAAAAACAGAAGCACAATGATCATGACAGGAGCAGAATCAATTGTAAACAATTTCATATGTAATTATATACTGAATAAAAAAAAGCAGAACAGAGGCACATTTCACATATACTAAAATAATTAAACATGGTATAACCATAGACCACTTTTTGGTACCATTTGTATATATATAAGAAAAGGGAAAAGTATAACCAAGACATATCAGAGACACTTCTTTGTAGAATAATTTATTATTTACCCCCATTTCTGATACTCCTGCTTTATTTTTTTATCATAATTGTCATGCAGTGTAGTCGCCTGACTCCCACATCCCACAAATATTCTAAATGAATTCAGCAACACAAGGAAAAAAAAGGAATGTGTTTTGTTCGAAACATTGTTTATTAAAAAAAAAAAAAAAATAGACCAGCAATAGTCTAAAAAAAAAGTCATTAGTGATTAAAAAATAAAAGAGACTACTAACCTGTAATCAGAAAAAAAAAAAAAAAAAAAAAGTGAAGCAGAATCGCTTTTTATAATAAAGCGTTCGCTTTTTCGCTTTTTTCGCTTCTTCGTTTTTTCGCTTTTTCTCGCTTTTTTCTCGCTTCGCTCACGTTCGCTTCGCCTGGGGTCCTCCAGGCGAGAGAAGCTTGCCTCGCCTCGCTTCTCGCCTAGGCGAGCTTTTCAAAACACTGACTAAGACTATGATGAACAAACCCTTTTTGCAACAGTCCATCTACTTGCCTTTGGAGTTCAGCACACTCAGTGGGATTCATATGATAATGGGGAAGATTGGGCAACTGAGATCCTGGAATTAAGTCAATAACATGCTGAACATCTCTCATTGGTGGCAACTAATCGGGTAGTTCCTCAGGAATCACATCATAGAACTTTCTCAATAGACTATCAACTTCAGGCAAAAGATCGTCTTTAGATTCCAGAGGACTTTGAACAACTTCTTTGACAACTAGAGCTACCATTATACCAGATTCTTTTCTCTTTTTCTCAAATTCTCTATGGGTCAAGATGTGAAGGTCTTTCTTATGAATTACTGGGGAAGATGACCTATGCTTTGAAGTATTACTTTCTGAGGGTTTTATAAGTTTTAACTTAATGGTTTTCTCCTTATGCTTAAAAACATAGGTATTTTTCCTCCTATAGTTTGTCACATCTAGATCAAAAAGCCACGGACGACCCAACAAGACATGAGCGACATCCATAGGGAAGACATCACACCATATATGATCTGAATAGTCACCCATCTGAATAGGGACCAAACATCTATGTGAGACTGGTAAGGAGGTCTTGTCAACCCATGCGACTTTGTAAGGTTGTGGGTGTGTCTTTGACTTAAGCTGTAACTGAGCTACAGTTGATTTAGAGATGACATTCAATGAACTTCCCCCATAAATAACGACCTTGCAAACTTGACCCTCACATCGGATTAGAGTATGAAAAATGCTGGTGCGTTTTCATGCTGCTGTGTCTAAAGGGGTCGATAAGATACATCGCATCACACTGACACAGGTGTCATCGGTTTGTCACTCTTCCTCACCCTCATCTAGTAACTCTAAGGGTTCCTCATCCAAAGGATCAACTTCTTGGTTAACATCCTCTCTGTCAAGTGAATTCTCTAATCCCTGGTCAATGGTCAAGGTACGCTGAGGGCACTGTGAAGCAATATGACCCTTGCCATGACAACGGTGACACTCTATGGAAGAACTGTCCTGGCAAGAACCTGTGAGTGTAGAATCTCGACCCCTAGTGGTATTACCTCTCAAGTTGGGGTAATTGTTACCCCTGGATGTGACAGGGCCTGACTGGGTGACGCCTCGAGACCGATCAAATGGGACTGACCTTGATGGTTGAGATTCTCCGGTTTGAGAAGGCATTCGACGTTGAAAGGGTGGTCTAAGGTATTGTTCAATCTCTAAGGCTTTATAATATGCTTCCTCAACCGTTTCAGGAGAGTGTAAGTTAAGCTCTCTCTTAATCTCAGGTCGTAAGTCATTAATGAATTTTATAACTGTTACCCAAAGCTCTTCCTTTATGTCACATCTCAGGAAGAGCTCTTCAAATCGAGCTAGGTAATCAGTCACATTCGAGATCTATTGACGCAAGTTCATCCACTTGTCAAAGAGTTGGCGCTTATAGTAACTAGGGAGATATTTATCTCGCAATCTTTGTTTCATCTCAGCCCATAAAGTAATAGGTTGTCCCTCTAGGCGCTCTTGGTCTCATTGGACTCTCTGCCAATATCTCTTAGCCGAACCAACGAGTTTCATTTTGGCAAAACGAACCCGATGGTTGTCGGATATATCATACCAATCAAAATAGTCAGCCATGTCATCCAACCAATCTAAGAAAGCAACAGGATCTAACCTATCATCAAAGCTAGGAGCGTCCACTTTGACTCTTTGTGTGATATCCCTAGATTCTTTGTGGACATGCCTATGTTGAGGATTATGGTAACGCGGAGGGGGAGATCTATGGTATCTGGCACGTGGGCGGAAGGGCTCACGATAACCATCCATATCACCCTCTGCTGAATAGTCAGACATGACTACCTCAGCGGGATCCTCCTGAACATTCCTATGACCTATGTTTCGTCCAAAAGCGGTATTAGGAGGTGTCTTCCTATCTGGACGCTGTATTCGGCTCCCCTGAGCTACTTGCGGAGTGGGTTGGACACCTTGACATGAGTCCGTAGGATCTATCGGGAGAGGCAGGTGCCGAACATTGGGTACTTGGTTAGACTTAGGTGAAACTTGTGACTCACTCTGGTCATAGTCTATTGGTCGTTTTTCCATAAACTTAGTCAATTGGGCTAGTTGAGTAGTAACTTGAGAAAGTTGTTGTCCCATTCCTTTAACTTCCTCACGTAACAAGTCGACTAATTGTTTAGTATCGGTTATATCAATGGTGAGGGTCTCAAATTTTTGTTCTAATGCAGTATGGGATTCTGAAAGCTCACGAAGGGTCATAGTGAATGTAATGTAAAATTTGGGCTAATGTAAATGGCCGACTAGACTAAAAATTAAACCAAGTAATAAAAATTATAAATCAATGCAAATGGTCACACATAAGAACAAACTTAATGTAAAGAGGCTCAAATAAACGTGAGACAAACAACAATGGATTTAACAAGAAATTGGGTAAGCTAAGTTATGAAGGTGGTGTGTGGGAACAACAAATAAAGAAGGTTATGAAGGTGGTATGCGGGACCAACAAACAAAGAAAGTTTAGGTTTTTTTTTTTTTTTGACTTACCAACAAATATAAATACTAGTCACCAATTCTCAACGAAAAGAACTCGTACCTAGTGTTAGATGCAACTCCAAGAGAATGCTTGACAAGTTAGGGGATGATCCTACAAAGTGTAGAACTTTTTGGGGAGTTTTTGTAATTTTTGGAACTTTTGGGGTGATGTTTTTGTAATTTTCTGAACCTGTTGGGATGTTTCTGCAATACTGAAATTTTTAGATGATACTTCTGTAATTTACTAGAACTTCTGGGGTGATTCTGTTACTTTCGAGAACTTTTGGGGAGGTTTCTGTAATTCTAGAACTTTATGGGGGTGAAAGGGTTAAAACCAATGTCTTCTTCCTTAACACGATGGAACAAGGAAAAAGATGGGCAGCGATGAAGTCGAAGCAGCATAGGTCAACGACGAAAACAGGCGCAATGAACAATAACAATGATGAACAGTGCACAATTATTTTTTTTATTTTTATTTTATTTTTTATGGAACAAGACCAGAACAGTGTGAGATGAACAGTGCACACGATGAATTTTTTTTTTATTTTTATGGAACGAGACTAGAACAGTGCGCACGATGAATTTTTTTTTTTTTTTTTGGACAACAGGTGAACAGTGATTTCGTGCGAACAGTTTTTTTTTTTTTCAATGTATAGCGTTGTTGAGATTTTTTATGATTTATACGAATCGAAATTAGGCTCTGATACCAAATTGATGTAGATAGTATTAGAGAAGAATTAGGGATGAGAAGGGAAGAAGAAAGAGATGAGAAAATAAGAAGAAGGAGATGAGAATAGAGAGAATTTTAGAAAGAAAATTCAATATCAATAATCAATCAAAGTCTACAAAAACAAATAACATATCTCCTATATATATATATAGGGAGACCACAAATCCTAAAAGAACTCTAAAAGAAATAAATAGTCATAATGACAACTAAACCCCTGAAAAACATAATGACAAATAACTCTTAATCCTTACGCCTACGACTACTATAACGAAATATAATTTGATTCCTACCACTGACAGAACTTGGTTGTGCCTTGTTAGAGGAAAACCAAAGGCTAACAAGGGCCGCAAGTAGCTCTCTCGAGATTCTGGGTTCGTAGTTGTGTAGAAAAACAAACGAGAATGGTGGCATTGCAGAGAATTGGTGGCAGATAAGGCTGGCTATTTAAATCCCTTGTTAATTGTTGAGGTAGTTGGAAAACCATGTGCAATACTTCCAAGTAGGGGTTGGCAGCATGAAGGCATAAAGTGACAAATGCAATCTCAATGTCATTAAATTAGTTGAAAGTGAGAAGCCAACTCTGCAAACTTTCTAGCAGATATGAGGCATCAATACTTAGAGGAAGACTGTAGATAAGAGACTACTCTTGTTGCCTGTGCCTGGTTGATATAATAAGCATTATGTGTTGTAGCTGGACTCCTGAAAGAGGGTTTGGCATTGAGGCTAGATAGTTTGCTTAGTCATACAAGAAAGAGAACTCCAATGTGGGTTACGGTTTATGTGACTTCTCTCAATTTAAAATTTTAGGAATGCATGTTTTGAGGCATTTCTGCAGCAAGATATTGTTTTTCTCTCTTGCATTGTTTTTAACTTTGAGTCTTCGGTTTGATTGTGTTTACTAAATATGCTTTTTGTGGATTGTTTGATATTGTCAGGCAGTTTTGGAAACTGTTGCTAGAGTTAAGCCCAAGAAAAATGAGACGAAGGAAAAGTACGTTTCTATTGTTAAGTCTTGTGTCATAGGAAACTCCTTGTATTGCTGACTACCTTGTGATTATTATCTTAGGTCATTTCAACTTCATGATGTTTTCAACTTGGATAATGAGAATCGGGGTGTAGATATGCCAACATTGATAGATCGGAAGGTATTTGTTATGTGTGTCATTGCCTTCACCTATGTTTTAAATGCATATACTAGGGATACATATTTTCTGAATTAAGCTCAAAATCTGACTCCATGTTGGAAAATTTTGTTCAGGACAATGTCTTTATTATGTCCAATGCCAAGTCGAAATTTCCTGTGCTACAGTTAGACTTAAGGTGGAGCTTTCTTTCTCTTCCCCTCCCTTCTGTCCTGCTGACAGTTGATATATGGTTACTGCAACTTCTTAGCTCAGAATATTCAAATTATTTTTTGGCAGATTGATATCAGATCTTGTGGTTGTCATTGTCTCTGCAACTTGTGGCGGCATTGCTTTTGCTTGTGCTGGACAACCGGTCTGACCATCATTATTGCTTATACTTCGTTAATGATAACTTCTGTTTTGACGAGTTATTTTTTTCCTTGTAATTTTTTTTTATTTAGCTATAGAATAGATGATGCATGCCGATGGTTGACACGAATTCCTTCTTTAGCTTTGGTTATGACCATCTCATTTGTGAAATGAGTGGCTTCTGCACTTATGAAATCTTGCAGGTTATTACTGGATATCTGCTTGCTGGATCAATAATTGGGCCAGGGGGCTTGAATTTAGTCAGTGAAATGGTGCAGGTATTGCCTTTTGTCTCTTTTGTGGTCCACAATATTATTTTTTTTAATTCAAATTATTAGTGATTTCTCTAGTGTACTAAACTATAAGAACCTGAATAGTTTCATATGACATTTTGGATTTCATCGTATGCCCTATGTGATGCTTAAAACCTTATTCTTAGGGATTTGTGGCTCTAAGTGCTAAGGCATGACACATTTTTTTGGGTTTATGTTGGGCTTCTCAAAGAACTGGGTGCATAAGTGAAACTAGTGACCCTTTATCAAAAGGTTTGGGTGTTTGGGCCAAGCTTCAACAGAGTTCTTATATTTAGCCTCTGATATACATATTATTACTACTTATTGAGGAGCATATCTGTCTTTCTCATCAGTTATTTTTGATGAGAATATTGGAGAAGACAAATAGCAGAGTTTTCTGAATTGCATGCTTAGTTATTACTGTTCCATAGTTTGGTTATTGTTTTATAGTCATGGTATAGGTTATGATTTCCTTGTTTCATTAGTGTGTAGGCGCCATTGCATATTATATCTCTATATACAAACTCAAGGAGTACTTTCAATTTCTCATAGATTAAGGCATGCAGGTTGAAACAGTAGCTCAGTTTGGTGTTATTTTTCTTCTTTTTGCATTGGGCCTGGAGTTCTCCACAACTAAGGTGGGCTTGTGTTTCTCCTCCTGGATATAGAATTTTATTAATTCATGTCTCATTCTGACAAATTTTTTCAACTTATGATTTGCAGCTTCGTGTTGTCCGAGCAGTTGCTGTTTTAGGAGGCCTGCTCCAGATACTTCTGTTTATGTGTTTGTGTGGGATAACAGCCTTGGTATGTTTCTTCTTGATATATACTCAATATGTGAAGTTGTCGGTTTTTAATCCAATTCTATGAACATCTACGCATTTGTATACAGTGAACGATACTGCATTCCCATTACAGGAACTATTTCAGTCATAATCCTATGTGCCTGCATTATCAAGGGAACTCCTGGAATGGAGTTATGCAGTATTGTTTCCATTATGTCATGAGCTTCTCTACTACCCCCGCCCACCAATAATCATAATAAATCAAAACTGTAGCAAAAGAGTTGATAGTCATCAACTTTCCATCCAATCCCATACACTTCATTGTAGCCAGGGAATTCTGATATGTGCAGTTGCATGCTTTTTGCAGTTATGTGGTGGTGAAGCATCTGAGGGGGTTTTTGTTGGTGCACTCCTGTCAATGTCTTCAACAGCGGTGGTAACTCTCTTTGCACTAATTTAAAACCATTTACCTGCTGAGTTCATGTTTGGCTGCTAAACTTTTGTATTGTCGATTAGTAAGAATACTATCTATCAGATGAGATTTGATTTACTGCAAGTAGGAGAGAAATCTGTACTCTAACACCTATTAGTATCTGGCTCACCCTGTGTTAGCTGAATAATTCTTTTACATATAAAACCTCAGAAATAAGATGAAACATCTTACAAGAGCATCCTGCTTCCAGACAAACGGGTGTTAAATCAGAAAGAAATACATTCGAAATAACCAACTTACTATCACGAATGTATTAAGTATCTAATTGCTGTGATATCTTGGGTTCCGGCATCATTCAGCGCTGATGGTGAGTGCTTTTAGTTCCCATCTGCCTCATAATGTTGAATGGTTTAATTGCTGGATATAGCTTAAATTGAGAATATCATCTACTACTGGTGTTTCTGAGTTGCCTTTCTCAGTCTTCTTTGAGGCTTCCATCTACTGTGAAATTTTGTTTTCACACTCTGGCATGCTGACGTAAAAGCATATAAGGGCCTTTTTGTTGATTGACTAGTTTCTTTTGGCCACAGGAAAAGAATACTTCCTTTCGTAGTGAAGCTGTATTGGGCAGGAACTATACAAGAGATTTGAGTCCGGAATGGTATTCCAGAATCACGGGTTTCAAAAGCATTCACCAAATGATTTAGACAAGGCTTGCTTGTTCTGGTTTGATTTTAAAATCCCCAAGTTGGATAAAGAAATTATAATTCTTAGCCCTCTCAGGATTTGAGGGCCTTAAACAGACAGATGAAACCCTCTCACAATAGGCTTTTTTTTCAAACCCTTCTAGCAAAGGATTTTGGAGCGAAGGCCCTTTGTGATAAATTAAAATATCCTCTCTCTCTCTCATAGACTCTCCTCCAGCAAAAGAAAAGGGAGAACTTAGTTATTTAAATGAGGCCTCCTTCCTTTTGGGTCCCTTGCCCATTCACAGAAGCACATGGAGAAGGGGAGGGGGGGGGTGGGGGGAAGGAAGAGTATGGGTGACAGGATTGTGCATGATGGCAGCATAAGATTCTCTTTCTCATCCTTTCAGTTAATAAACTTGACTAAGCAATGAACACGAAGAAATATTGTAGTTCAGAAATACTGAGAATTAACAAATTTCCCAAACAATAGCTTCTTGAAATGTAGAGATTTTTTAATTAGGTGAATTTTGAATCCCTTATTTCTTCGTTGCATAAATATTAATTATTGTATTTTGGCTCTGGACCAATGTTACATGAATTGTGGGTCGTTTTGGTACGTGATACGGGTACGGGTACATGGTACGATACTTTCTTAGCTACATGGTACGATGAGGGTAAACTTAACTAGTACGGTATTTTGGTTCGCAATTCATTTTGGGACTCTTATTTAGATTATTTTTATCACTATTCAACATTATATATCATAGAACATTCACAAACGCTATGTCAGATACTATTTATCTTACATTTGTACTTGATTTTTTATTATTAGAAACAATATATAATTATAAATCTATATACACGCAAAATATGTATTTCATATTTATGCTACGTGTACAATTTGGGATCGTATATTTTAGTGATCTGAATTGTGAACCCATCCCGTTTGGGATTGATGTACCTAGATCGTGGGTTGTCAGTTTTAGTGAATTCTGGTAACTATCTGACTCATATGTACAATTCTTTACTAAAAATACCCTACTGTCAAATTGTTTGATTCATCTATGTTTCTGAACAACTTTATCTTGTTTGTGATCTAGGTCTTGAAATTTCTGATGGAAAGAAATAGTAGTAGTACCCTTCATGGACAGGTCACTATTGGTACCCTCATTCTACAGGTATCTATCTGCTTTGCACTAATTTGTGTCTTGTTAGGAATTGCAGCTAAACAAAAATCCTATGCTGCTGTGATTGGTATTTATGCAATTATTAAAGACCACAATTTATCTCACTTGTGATAATTCCCTTGTTTTAATTTTGCATAGAATATTTGCTCCTCGTATTTGAGCTATCTTTGCCTGCCAGGATTGTGCAGTGGGTTTGCTGTTTGCACTGCTTCCAATTTTGGGTGGTACTTCTGGTGTTCTTCAGGGAATGGTGTCCATGACAAAATCGTACGTAAAAGAACCTTAATAGAGGTTTTGAATTGTGAAATGCAAACTCAATATATGCAACTGCTGTGCCCTGCCTATGCGACACACTAATAAATCTATTACATGCAAGTAATGCTTAGAACTTTTCCTGGATGTTGTGATTTTGTGGTTAGATGAATCATCCATACATGGTGAAACTTTCTTCCCTTTTAAAGTTTTTCCAAATTTTGAATTATGTATATAGACCCTGTAGAAGTGGTGCTCAACTGCTCATACACCTATTATTGGCACTCAATTAAAGAGTTCTGGCATGTATAGACAGTTCTGGCTGAGCCACATTAAGGTGGAATGATTTTTACCACGAGTGTTTTGTGTAAAAGCTTGTTGCATAAGTAAAGATATGTTTGATTGAGGCGTTGGTTCACCCTCTTGAGAACTGACTTTAAATCTAAGTACAGATTTCAATGCATTGTCTTATTGGGGCTGATTTTTCATCTAATCTTCCTATTTTGTTTTAGGTTTGTGATATTTACCATGTAATGTATAGGTTCAAGAATTTTAAGATTTGTGCAAGTTATCACTCTATGGATACTAAGAAACGAAGGAAATTCATGTTGAAACAGGATGTGGTTCCCTGTCATGTTGAAAACAATTCTCTTTAGCTTATTTACCAATAATCACTTTAGTTAGCACCTTATTTTGATACAAAATGGCTCTTATGTATTGACCTTCGAGCAAGAATATTAGTGGAAAGGTAATAGGAATGTGTAGTCTGGAGATTGTTTCAGGTATGTGATCTGAGGAATATTCACAGATGAAGTGTGTATGTGGTCATGCAACTTGTATATGATTTAAACTTTTTATTTTTAAAAAAATACAATTGGTGAACTAATTATTCCATTTTTTATAAGATACTTTTGGTTTGCTTCCATAGGTCGAGTTTGTTTCCTGTTTCATTCAAATATTTATTTATTTTATTGTCTTTGCTTTGCTTGTTCTATTCCATTATTTATTTTCTCTTACAGGTTGGTGATTTTGATAACATTCTTGGCCATTTTGTCAATATTATCCCGTACTTGTGTTCCCTGGTTTCTTAAGCTGATGATAAGCCTATCATCTCAGGTGATCTTTTGTTCCATAAAATGATCCATCTGCACCTTCACTGCTGTTTCCTGTATGGTGATGTTTTTTGAAATCTGTGCAGACTAATGAGCTATATCAATTGGCATCAGTGGCTTTCTGCTTGCTAGTTGCTTGGGTTTGCCTCATTCCCCAATTACTGAACTGCATTCTTGCATCTCAATTGGCTTGCTATCATTCTTCTTCATTTTTATAATCATCATGTTCGCCGTCTTCCAAACAACACATCAGCACATTTGTTCAATACATATCTTAAATGCGTTTATGATGTGGACTACTGTGTCATTTCAGTGCAGTGATAAGCTGGGTCTAAGCCTTGAGCTGGGTTCCTTTGCTGCTGGAGTGATGATATCCACAACTAGTCTTGCACATCATACACTTGAACAAGTAAGAGTTTCTGATTGTTTTTCATGTACAATGTTTTGGAGTTGTCTGATTACTTTCTTTATGCTCTTCATGGTTCTGTGGTTTAAATATTTGTGGTTTTGGTGCATAAAACGTATGTTGAAAAGATGGCTTCTAACTAAGATTTATAAAGTAGTAGTACTTCATATGACACTATGATTCCAGTCAACAGTTAAAACTTGAGAAAGATGAAGATACTAATGAGATAGCCATACTATGTCATAAATAAAAAATTGATGCTAAAATAAAAAATAAATTTGCATGGGCGTATTGGGCTGCACAAATAGACTATAGACCATCAATTGGATCTCTTTCCAATCCAGTTAGGTGGGCCAATGGCTTAGGAAACCATGTATTGATGAAATCTCATCGTCACTGGGACATTTAATTTATTGTCTTCTGGATTTGTCACAGTCCATGACACCACTTCTATTCACTCTTGAGGACAACTATGCTTGACCTTCCTTATGTACTTTCAAACTTATTTGAAGAGTTCTTTCAGGTCAATTAATATCCTAATGTCATGCCCTTTTTTGGATGGTGTAATGTCATGCAATTAGCTACACATAATCTGCAAATGCTGGAAAGACCACAACTATGAGAATTATTTGATCTCTGACTTGTGCCCTTTCTAGTTGATATGCAAACTGTCATTCCCTTGATTTCAGGAGATGAATTAAGTGTTTCTAATGTTTTCTCTCGAAATTTAATCCCAAGTCATGGGAAAATAAAAACCTGGATTACCAGTTTAAAATTCCAAATTCATTGTGTTCCCTAAAAGTTACACAGGTCCATCATTTAACATTTGTCAAGTAAAAGGTGCAATACTTAATCCAAAGAAGTTCCTTTCAAGTCCACTCCACTTCAAAAGCATATAACAAGTGGAATATTACAAGTCACTTAAAGATTTCTTACACCTACATTAAGTTTTCATGATATATTAGAGCTGGCTAAAGCCAGCTATAGTTACCTTCAATTCAAACATGTAAAGAGAGCTTGTATTCACATCAA